CTTTCAACTGGACTACGGCCAATCAGAGAGCTCCCGCCCCTGACTATCTCTGATTGGTTTAGTCCACGATAGGGGCAAAATGTGTGTCTGTTGTTGACCACAGGGAAGGTTGCAGGGTTTTTTTGTTGTTCTTTTTGCTACCCGAACAGTTGGTCGCACAGGTGCAACCAAATTTTTTTTTTTTAGTCGCACCACTGAAAAATTTGGTCGTATTTGCGACCAAATTGGTTGCACTCTAGAGCCCTGGGATGCATTGTGTACTTTAACAACAGATGTAGGTTTTAAGTGACTGTCTTAGGACCAGGGAGCTCCAAACATCTTTATATGCAGTCTGTGTTGGCAGCTAGAGCATGAAATGGTTAAAGAGCTGGGTATGTTTCTGAGGATCTGTAGCAGCTAAAGGAGTGGAGAGCGAGTGTTAATCTGACAGCAACACAGCTCCCGTGGCCTCCCTGTGGTGTTGGTAACTGTTTGACACTGAAAGTCAGAAATGTATATCTCAGCGTTTTCAGCTTGATGGACTTTCATCGTGCTCTAGTGGTCAGCGTAATTAAACAGTTAGCCTTTTGGGCTCCTGAAAATACAGCACTCGTATACACGATGAATTCTGCTGTATCACCAATGAGCTCAGAGGGATGATTGCTGCAGACGGGGCTGTGAGTCCTGTTATGTAATTGTCCTGGAACTGGGGTCGTGTTGGGGTTACTAATACGAATCGACGATTAGATTGGTTTTCTAAAGTGTGCGTGTCTTTCTAGGCTGACCTCCTTCGTGATGAAGTCCTTTGGTGGTGCACGGCCGTACATCTACGTGCAGCCCGAGCACATTACAGAAGCCTGGAGGTGGCTGTCTAAACACCAGCGGCCTGATGGCTGCATCAGATCAGTTGGAAAGCTCTTTCACAATGGCATGAAGGTAACAATCACTCTCTTTAAATGGAGCTTTCTTATCAGCAGCTGTTGGTGCTTTAAGTGTTCAGCTTTGGATAAATCTCTCCTGCAAGATAAAAGCACAAAATGAACTCTGTATTAGAAGTGATTTACAGAGAAGTTTCAGAGGAGATGGCCTATAGCCAGCAGGCTACACGCGCACACACACGCACAGGAAATATCCTAAACTATCCAATGACTTTCCAGCTTCTCCTAAAGCACCACAGGCCTCATCAGCTGCATGTTTCAGGAGCCTAGCTTTGGTCTGCCTCTGATTTTTGGTGCACAGCAGACACATTTCAGTGTCTTCTGCACAGCAGTAGGAACGTTAGAAAACACAGTTCCAGTCTGGGCGTTTGGCACTGGTGGAAAACCAAAAGTTGAATCCTGTGACTGTAACAGCAGGTTACACAGCCCCTGCTGAGTGTTCGGGCTCTCGTGTCACTGGACATGCATGCGCTGCCTCGTGGAGCATCACACCGTTTAAAGGAGCCTCATTTTTGTTTTCTCTGTCACATTTCTGTGGATGATCACATTAAACAGTGTGGTGATAGAGACACATTACAAAAGAATGCTCTGTGGTTGTTTTGTGAGCATACGGTGTTGTCATGTTTCCACAGGGAGGAGTGAGTGACGACGTGTCCCTGACTGCCTACATCACTGCTGCCATGCTGGAGCTTGACGCCAATGTTACAGTAAGTCTCACTTCACTTTTGAAAATCAGGACATTTACCGATTTAAAACAGTTGCTGTAACACGACGGTTTCTCAGCAATACTAATCAGGTGAAACTGGTCGTGTGCATTTCTGTCCACCATCGTAGCTTTAGGTGTAGATGCTAGCGTTAGTGTCTCAGTGTCACATTCAGCCACTGTCATACCGTTCTACATCATGAGATGGTTTATCTTGTATACAGGTTAAACCTCAAATTACACTTTTTAAGCTGCTGTATCTGCCCTACAGTTCCTGATTGTCTGCAAGCTGCTTTGCAGCCCAGTTTTAATTCAATTCAATTTTATTTATATAGCGCCAAATGACAACAAAAGTCGCCTCCTCTTCATCCTGTTTCTGTCACATCTGCTCTCTCTGTGCCGTACGCTGTGTGGAAGAGCAGAGCTAGCAAATGAATGAAAGCTACACGACAGCGGTCCTGAATAACACGCGTGATTTTACTCTGAGCACTTCCTGCAGTCTGTCCCATACGTGTGCTCATGTCTGCCGTGTGACAGGATCCCGTGGTACACAACAGCCTGACCTGTCTGAAGGCTGCAGCGGCTGGCCAGCTCGATAACCTGTACACCACTGCCCTGCTGTCCTACACCTTCACTCTGGCTGGAGACGAGGAGATGAGGAGCAAACTCATCACCCTTCTTCATGAGAAATCGAACACACACGGTGAGGCTGACACTGATCCAACTCTATGATGCAATAAACTTCCTCCCTCTGAGGAAGAACGAGTCTTTGCTTCCTTAACTCAGTAAATGGATCTTTTTGGCTGAAACAAAAAGAGAACGCAGCGTCATCGTCATCTCCCTCGACTTCAGTTAAGTCTAAAACTTGGAAATCATTGTTTGATCCTCGCTTACCAAGAAGTCTTTCATTTTTAAATGTCTGTCTGATGGTTTAATTTTAATGGAGAGAGAACGAATGTCAACCAAATATCCAGAAAAACACATTACTTACAAGTTATAAATTAAATTGCTGTTATGGAGTGAAATAAGTATTGGATCCACAAGTAAAACATGACTTCGTGCTTGGTTGGCGAGCACGGTGGTAAGATGTCATGGGGTTTGCACACATCTCAGGACGGATCGTGGTCCACTCCTCTTTACAGGAATCCTTCAGGTGTCTCGGCTGCTGTTTGCTCAGCTTCATCTCCCTCCACAGATTTTCTACAGGACTGAGATCTGGACACTGGCTCCATCTTTAGCCTCTCCTTTGTTACCTTGGTGACATGTTTTGGGTCACTGACGTGCTGCAAGACTCGTCCACAACCCGTCTTCAGTGTTCTGGCTAAAGGAAGGAGTCGGTCCCTCAGTGTGATGAAGCCATGCTGTGGCCTTATAGCATCTTCTCCCAGGCCTGAATTATTTAGATGTTCATTGGCAAACTTAAGTCAGGCTCTGCAAGATTTCATGTCACCATGACATGGTTCTACCAGTGCTGACCTGTGGTCCTAACTGCCTTCAGATCATTGAAAACCCTCCTTCCTCATCCTCGCTCCATGAGGCCAGATGGAGCTCCAGACTGAGGGTGATTGATGGTCGTTTTACATTTTGTATATTTCTGAATAATCGCACCAGTTGACCGTGGCTGATGGTCTGGTAGCTCGTACAGCTTTGTGCAGGTCTGTCCTTGAAGTTCTTTAACAGCTCTTTGGTCTTTTTCTGGATTTGTGGTTGATATTCTGACTCTGAATTAAAATGAACTGTCTCCATTTTTATGGTGTTATTTCTTTGTAAGTGTGAAAGCTTAAAAATTGAGCAGGGCATCGTATAATTGTTTGCCTGATAGAAGTGTTTGTGTCGTGTGCTGTGCGTGCTCTCACAGTGCTGGAATAACTGTTGTGAGCATCTGGAGACAGACAGCAGGAATTAGCCTCTCAGTCGAAACAAGCTACCTTGGGTTAGTCTGCAGTTAGAAAATACTAGAGCTGCCACAAACGATTATTTTGATAGTCGACTAGTCACCGATTATTTTTGCGATTAGTCGACTAATCAGATCATCATCCA